AAACTGTATCCAAATGTTCTGTAAGACTCACTTAAATATTTTAACATACTTAACAAAAAGAGCCTTAAGCAACATAATCTACTTACACTACTGCCTTAAGAAGTTAATTCCAAACAATGTTGATCAAAACTTGAAATGGAAACTTGTACTAGGTAGCACTTTTAAGTATCTGAAAGCAACACAACTCATTTTGCTTAAAAATACGTGATAATGTATGCATACTATACCCAGATGACTTTTCCCCAGTCATCCTAATTAATGAAGTCTTACCATGTGAGTATTCTCTTTGTTAAAACCATAAGGACTTTTGGCATTTAGGTATGCAGTAATACTTGGAACACTGCCTGGGATGAAAACAAAAAATTATGTAAGCACATGTTAAGCATTTTATGAAGACCACTTAATTTCACTCAAGAGAGACAGGAAAAATTGGACTGATTTTCCATATAAACTCCCTGGGTGTTTCGCTGAATATCTTGATAGTAAGCAAGTTTGTGAAAGATCCTTTACAACCTATTCATTCATTGTTACCATGGTATACTCTTTATAAATATTAATGTTCACAGATAACAAAGAATCCACCTATATCAAGAACATTGCTATTTAAATTTTAAGAAGATTTAACTAATTATACAATGAAACATTTCCTCAATTAAACTTTTTAAAATTTAAATGGTTGTTTTTTTAATTTTAAATTATTTTGACATAAGGCTATTAGCACAAGATCTGCTAAAGTTAAATTGAGCTGGCTAGAATTACCATTTAGGGAAAGATCAGCATTAGGTTATAAAATTGTAGTCATTTTATTGAGTTTAAAGGCAATCAACAGCACTGCAAAAGCTCTAACTCTGAAGGCAATCAACATCATTCCAAAAGCTGTGACTCTGAATATTGATATATTATTTGGAACCCTGTTTTTAAAATGATAATTAAGATGACATGCTGTTTAGTAATCTAGCAATAAAAGGAAGATTTAAAAAATTTATTAAAATTATCATGAAGCAATGGGGAAAATATTAGTTACCTGGGGAAGCAGTAATATCTATCATGAGTATTTCTTCCTTATTTTGTTACATTAACATGTGTTCGTGTTTGTATGAAATACCTTTGTTTGCTTCCCTCTCTTATCTCCTTAACATGCATCATAAGATGTACTGACTTTATATCATAGCATTTAAATATTATTAACTTCACATTATGGTATTTAAGCTATGGGATATCAATGATAGGAGTAAACATCACCCAAGAACTTTGTGTCTTCTTTTGGAGAAAGAACTAGTAAATTTGCAGTTGTACATAGGGTTGTTCAATCATGTTAGGTGGAAGCATGACCGTGTTCTTGTCTTTATCTGAAGATTAAATACGGTTTAAGAAGCTATGTATGGGTGCCAAGTTGACAAGGGGTTGATTGACCTGTGATGTTTAATTTTACATGTCAACTTGGATAAGTCACAATACCAGAAAGTTGCTCAAAGGTTATTCTACTGTAGATGTTATGGTGAAGATATTTTTTATGAGATTAACATCTAAATAAATAGACATTGAATAAAGCTGATTACCCTCCAATAATGTGGGCAGGCTTTATCCAATCAGTTGAATGGAAAAAAGTCCAACCTTTCTGCGAGGAAGAGGAATTCTGCCAGCAGACAACCTTCAGACTTGAGTTGCAGCATGTCTGACCGATGGGCCTTACTCTGTAGATTTTGGACTTGCCAGCCTCCACAATCACATAAACCAAGTCCTTAAAATATATCTTCTTCTCACTATGTATGGACATATATATTCTATTTGTCCTATTTTTCTGGAGAGCCTTGACTAATACATAGCCCCGTAGTTAACAGTTTGAGCTCTGAATCCAAATAGGGTTGGTATAAATGCTGACTCTGCTATATACTAGTTGGGAGACCTGGGCAAATTACTTAACTACATTGAGCCTCAGTCTCCTCAACTACAAAATGGAATAATAAATATTAACCTTCACCTCACAGGATTGTTTGAGGTTAAATACATTTTATATGCAAAAATATTTAGAAAAAACATATTCTATGTGTTGGGCATTTTCTTTTTTCTTTTCTGTTTTTTTTTATTGCATTTTAGGTTTTGGGGTACATGTGAAGAACATGCAAGATTGTTGCACAGGTACATGCATGGCAGTGTGATTTGCTGCCTTCCTCCCCTTCACCTATATCTGGCATTTCTCCCCATGCTATCTCTCCCCACCTCCCCACTCCCCTGTCCCTCCCCCATTTCCCCCCAACAGGCCCCAGTGTGTAGTGCTCCCCTCCCTGTGTCCATGTGTTCTCATTGTTCAACACCCGCCTATGAGTAAGAACAAGCGGTGTTTGATTTTCTGCTCTTGTGTCAGTTTGCTGAGAATGATGGTTTCCAGGTTCATCCATGTCCCTACAAAGGACACAAACTCATCATTTTTGATGGCTGCATAATATTCCATGGTGTATATGTACCACATTTTCCCTGTCCAGTCTATCATCGATGGGCATTTGGGTTGGTTCCAGGTCTTTGCTATTGTAAACATTGTTGCAATGAACATTCGTGTGCATGTGTCCTTATGGTAGAATGATTTATAATCCTTTGAATATATACCCAGTAATGGGATTGCTGGGTCAAATGGAATTTCTATTTCTAGGTCCTTGAGGAATCGCCACACTGTCTTCCACAATGGTTGAACTAATTTTGTGTTGGGCATTTTCTAAACATTAACAAATATTAACTATTTTTCTCAAGCTTCTTCTAACATAGCTAGAAAACTTTCAGTTATGCTTAGTAAGAAGGGACAACACAAATAAATTTTAGAAATAATTTACATGGTCATTTGGGAATATATTTTTGTAAGAAATAATTCAAGATGAAGGAAGACTGAACCCACAGAGTTTCAAAATTGTGGTTTCTTGAAAGAGATAGCAATAATTAGCATTTGAAAACAGATGAAGTAAAAGGATACTCTCCTTTATACAATAGCTCTTTTATTAAAATGTGTTGACCAATATAATATCTGAAAACTAATATCATATGAAGCAATTGATATAGTCTCAGAAATGCTTTAAACATGGTTTCTAATTGTTAGTAGTTCTTAAGATACTGCCTCTGGTTTTATATTCTGTACTTGACCTCTATATATTTTTTCCACTTTTCTCATCCTTTCTGGTCACTATCCACATATTAGCCTTGACCTATAATTTCATCTCTTTTCTTTGCAATTCTCTGACAAGTATACATTACGCATGTTTTTGTTTATTGTGTTTTGTCACCAGAAGAAAGTCTAGCTGAATATGTATATTTCTTGGCCTTGGAAGAACTTTATGTTGTTAACATAAAAAGTGAAAAGTATTAGGAAAAAAATGATAGAAACTACTACTTAAAAACTGAATGCCTAACATATATACAAAAAGATGACACAGAATAAATCAAAGGTGCATGCTGAATGAAGAAAGAATATTTCTTTTATACTGTCAAGGTTTTTTTTTTTGAGATGGGGTCTTGCTCTGTCACCAGGCTAGAGCGCAGTGGCGCAATCTCGGCTCACTGCAACCTCCGCCTCCTGGGTTCAAGCGATTCTTGTGCCTCAGCCTCCCAAGTAGCTGGGACTACAGGCGCGTGCCACCACACCTGGCTAATTTTTGTATTTTTAGTAGAGACGGGGTTCCATCACGGCCAGGATGGTCTCGATCTCTTGACCTTGTGAGCCGCCTGCCTCGGCCTCCCAAAGTGCTGGGATTACAGGCGTGAGCCACCACGCCTGGCCAAGTTTTTAATAGTAATAATAATAATTATTATGCTGTGGTGTTCTATACTTTGCATTAAACATTCATACAAATTATCTCATTTTATACCAATCCTATAAAGAAAGCAGAATGCAAGATTTTTAAAAGGTTGGCTCTAATGACATTTTGGGTCAGATAAATCTTTGTTCTAGGAAACTACCCTTTTGAGCTGTATGCCTGGCTTTTACCCCCTAGAATTCAGTAGTCTCCCCAACATTACCCACTTTCTGACAACCAAAACTGTCTGCAGATATCACCAATGTCCCCTGGGAGACAGAATCGTCACCAGTTGAAAACCACTGGCAGAAAGAAAGAATATCTTCTTTTTTTACAAATTGGTTAGGTGAAATATAGAGAAATGAAGCGACTTGCCCAAATACACCCCTTCTCTAAATAACCTATAAGTTTGATAATTATAAGACACTACCACACAAGTCTTTTGGATAAAACATTAATCATCACCTAAGAAACTGATTTTTATATGTCAATTTCTTACATTACAGGTATTTCTGAACTTACTTTCTTCCCAGCCGATTCAGACATTATCACAAGCTACTTTCTTCCCACAAAACATGTCATTATAAATTTCAAGTCAGAAATAAGTATTATGAAAATTTACCTAGGCATAAAACACATTTATATAGTGCCCACCTCAGTATTTTTCAAAGCCCTTTCTATATTAGTCTTTACAAGATGTATGAAACAAGCTATCATTCTATTAATTATGCAGGTAATATGCCATCCAAACCTTATTATCTGCCTCTGTCATACACATGAAAAACATTTTCTTTTTACAGAAGCTTCATAGCAGGAAAACTAGTCACATATTAAAAGTTGAGGGTAGAGTTGAAGACACTTAAATTATCAGACCAAAAATACTTCCAGTGATCTTGAGCTTTTGCCGAAGCTTTATATGTTTGCTCGGTGACCTGACTGCATGCAGTCTTATTCCATGTAATAAATGACATTTCTTTTTTCACATTTTTAACTTTCCCCATGTCTATAAAAATACTGGATTCTCATATTAATATTCTAAATGCAAGCACTTCACATAGTTAACCACTGTATCTAAATAGTGTTTCAATGCTTTTCAAACTAATTTATCAATAAAAGAAGGAAAAATGGGATTTTCCATGTAATGCATTGCCATCTGTGTGCAGGCTGATAAGACAAAAAGAGAATATTTGAATGTCAGAGGATTGGAGTTACAAACCGTACCTTCCATGACATACACCAGTGACCCCACATCTCCTTCTTTGATGATGCAACTGTCTTTGCCATACTCCACTGGATACATACAATCCACAATCTCCTGGATCTGCGACAGCTCCAAGTTCTTCATAAAGTCATTATCAAGGATAGCTTCCTTGATAAGATCCTTGGACCTATGGCAAGAGAGGGAAGATTTACTGGCACATCTGACAAACTCTTTCAGTTTATGAGGTTTAGCAGAGCCATACAGTGCTCTGGCACACCACAAATGTATTTTCTTGTTAGGGATCCAATAATTTTTTGTAAGACCTGAGAACAAAGTAGTTCCATAGCAGCAAAAAAAAAAAAAAAAAAAAAAAAAAAGGCACTAAGAAATTTTTTTTAAAGTATCCTATCATTTAACGAATAAGTAACCTACCCACCAACCAACAAACAAAATTACACAGGCTCATTTTGCTTTAGATGTTTCCTTAATCACACAGATTGCTGGGAAACCAATGGATAAACATTTTAAATTGAAGTTTGTAATTTAGCTTAAGAATAAATATGAACAAAATTTTAAAACTCCACAACAAATACCATTACTACTGTTTGTGTTTGTAAAAGAACACAGGGATGTATTGTACTACACACAATCACAGAAAAAAAAGTTTGATTATTTTTTATGTGCCTCTTCCACTAGACTTTATGCCCCACATAGGCAGGGATAATTTTAAATTTGTTCTTTACTGTATGCCCAGTGTCTACTAAGATGCCAGTCATCTATAATATAGTATTTAAAAAAATACCAACCTAACAGTTTTATATGTGAAGACTGGTGAATATAACATTACTTTCAGTAAATGGTGGGAGATAATATTGCTCAAGTAATATTCTGGATTAAATAAGATAAGAATCGGATTCCTACCTACTTGTTTGAAACAACTGGTGGGAATGTGACAGTTCTTTATACACAACCCATGCTTTTTTAGAGAGTATTTCCTTCTTCAAGCAGCTTAGATTCAGGTAACCAGGCAGATAAAAGTCTATTGAACAAGATGTTTGAAGTGCAGCATGTTTTAGGCATGGGATTCAATACAAGTAGACAGTAGGAAAGATATTCAAACATTTTGTAATTGGAATTCAGTGGTTAACAAGAAAAATTTAGGAGAACTTAAAACATTGTAATGTTTATTTGCTGGAATAAGAAGTTCCAAATGACTTTCTAAGAATGCAAAAATCAAAGTGGAAGAGACATTAATAAATATTTATCAGGAGGAGGACAATCAGAGCACTATCAGAGGAGTCAGAAGCTAGACAAGATGAAACCAAAGACCTTAGCAATCCAGAGAGAAGACAGCATATTTGGTGCGTTATACTAAAAGTCTTAATTAAAAAAAAATTAAACACAAGCTGACCTTTGTGCACGTTTGCTTAGACAGTGGCTTCCAGGGAAATGACCCACAGTGGTGAATACTGACTAAAGGATTAGTCTTCTCTTCCCATTTCTGGAGATTTTTAATCTAGACCTCAGTATAACCAGCCTAGGCTTCTCACATTATGTTTGGTAATGATTCAGTTTAAGTAGTACAAAGATACACAGAAAAATAAAAACAATTGAAATTTTATTACTATGAAGAATATTCCTAGAATGAATGTTATACTGCAATTAAAATTATGTTTATGAGGATTGTTAACGGCGTGGAGGAAATTCTTCTATTATTTTTAAGTGAAAATGCAGAATACAAAATTGATTTTTTCAAGTAAGAAAGTATGTGTCTATTGAAATGTAAAAGGAAAAAAAAATAGGCTTTGAAGAGACATATATTTGGGTCTCAATCCTAGCCCTGGCACCTAAAAAATTTGAGTGGGTTGTCTTACTTTTCTGAATTTCCATGTTGTCATCTACAAAATGATATTTCAAAAATACCAACTTAACAGGTTTATATGTGAAGACTGAGGAATAAAATGTTACTTTCAGTAAATGGTAGGAGATAAAGGTTGTAGCATAGAGGTATTAATTGCAATATTATCTTCACCACTCCCTATAATTACCGTCACCATTCCTGGTCTCAAGAATACCAGTGGCACCTTCGTATTGACTCCTGAGCTCTACTGTTCTGGGATTATTTTTCCAAGAATCTGGGCTTACTTGGTATTCAGGAAATTAATTTTGGTCAAATTGTATTATATTTTCTCTTTCCTAAAATTTCTTTTTTTTTAGTCAGAGAGTGAGACTATTTAATGGGTTCATAGCTACTTGCACAATAAAAACTAATCAAGAACCACAACTTGTTTAGCTACATACAGATGGTATATTTTCCTTTGGGAAGTATTAATAATGATCCATAAAGATTTAAGTCCTAGAAATGAAGCAAGATTAAAAGTGAAGCCCTCTTCTAAGAACATAATTAGCACCATCCAAAGATGACTGAAGAAAGTCACTTTCTCCCCTCTCCTAAGAAAATTATTAAACTGTTTGATGAAGACATTACAAAATATTAAACAATGAGCTCTAATATGATTTCTTAGAATTATCCAAACTTTCCAACTGTTTATCACAGAATGCAGAGTGTGGGATGGGAAGAACAGGATTTCAGGAGGGTTCTGTTTCTCAAATTTTATATTGGATGGAGCACATTAAATTTCAGATCTCTGAAGAAACAAACTGGAGGCTTCCATATAGGCTGTTGTGTCATCTTAAAAGAAACTAATCAATATAAGACCTACATCTTACCATTTACACCTCCATACAGGTACTGCCAAATAGCATTGTTATTTCTGAATTGTCACAAATAATCTGTCTCTGCTCTCACAGCAAGATAGATATCTTGTGCCTCTGTGTGGTACAACCCAAAGATGTATTTGTCAGAGAATAATAGTCAAAGCCTTGCCTTTTCATGTAATTTCCCTTAAAGTCCTTTCCCATTGTTGACTGAAAACCTTAGGTGAACTCTCATTAGTCTTTGCTTGCACCAACATTATAAACTATAATTAATCAGGGTCTCCAGCTAACTCTTCTTTGAATCCTTTTCTTTCCCCAAAGAAATGGTCTAATAAACTCACTGTAACTAAGATATAATGCATATAAAATCAGTTAGTTGAGCTGTGTTATTAGTATGGGAGTTGGGGAAAGCTGGTGTCACAAGTACCAGAAGGTAGCCATCTGCTCAACCCGGAGTATATATTTTAACAATATTTTGAAATAATTCAGCAGCCTGACTTGGGAGGTATAAGAACCATCATTCTCAGCAAACTGACACAAGAACAGAAAATCAAACACCACATGTTCTCACTCATAGGCAGGTGCTGAATAATGAGAACACATGGACACAGGAAGGGGAGCATCACACACTGGGGTCTGTGGGGGGGGAATTAGAGGAGGGACGGAGGGGGTGGGGAGTTGGGGAGGGATAACATGGGGAGAAATGCCAGATTTAGGTGATGGTGAGGAAGGCAGCAAACCACACTGCCACGTAAGTACCTATGCAACAATCTTGCATGTTCTTCACATGTACCCCAAAACCTAAAATGCAATAAAATATATATTCAAAAAAAAAAAAGAAGCAAACACAAAGATCATAATTTTTTTTAAATCTTAACTATCTGGTTCTGTGTACAAATAATTTATTTTTAAGAATCTTTTCTTCCATGCTTAAAATGTGTGGCTTTTTAAATCCAAACAGCCTTAAAGGTAACTTGATTAATTTGAGCTAGCCCAATCCTTGGTCATCATTGAATTGTCAGCCTCTAAAATATTAGTTATATATAACGGTGTGCTGGTATTCTGGCTGTCTGGCTCGGGTGGAGAAAAGCGGAGGAAGCCATGGTATGTAGCATTTGCCAATTTCCATGGTGTAAATACTCCCACCATGGCCAATTTGAAGCTTTCATGCAAAAATCAACCTGTTTGCAAAGTTCCTGGAAATTAACAAGCAGATCTTACATGAGCCACTGCAAGTTGGCTCCAACACAATACTAGATATAGATTATTTTTCTAACACCCTAAGAATTTAGTGTAACTTAATTTATGAATTCTTAAACCAACATGATAATCCTTTCTTTCCTTAAAAATTTCATGAGGTGGTATAATATCCCCAGATAATTTAATGGCAGAATTAGCAATAGTTCTTCCAAACGTTCAATTTTAGAAAAATAAATTAGAAAATCCATATCCCCATTTATTTATTACAGGGGAAATATCTGAATATAAAGAAACAATGCTTGATAGGAATTGTCTTTCTACACAATCTTAGGTAAAAATGGGCAATTTTGGAATACAGGGAAACATATACCTACTTCTCAAATAAAGGAGCCAGCATTATTCACTGTTAATAAACAGACCCTCACTAGTTTTTCTTAAGCTAATAAAAGGATATAGTAGGCTAGCAATACATAAGTCACAGAAGGTTTATTTCAAGGTGTAGGGAAGGCTAGTTCAGATTTGGTGGTCAGGAAGGCCTCTCTGAAATAAGGATTACATAACAATGAGATTTAACCATTGTCTTCCCTATTGCAATGATGACGAAGAAAAGTATTCTAAGTAGAAGTAAAAACAAGAACAAAGATGTACAGTTTGGAATGACTTTGATATATTCAAAGATCAGAAAGGAGACCTGTATGACTGAAGCATACAGTGAGAGAGAAGAAATGGGATGGGAGAATAAGATCACTGAGGTAGGCAGGGGATGGGTCTCATAGGACCTTGAAGACTAAGATTAAGAGTTTTATTTTATTCCAAAGGCCAGTGAAGGACTATATGAAGGGGTATGATTCATAGATGATATAACAGACATAAAGAATAAATGATATAAATTTACTTTAAAGTGTTACTTATTTCGTGGAGGTTTTCTGTTGTGTATTTCATCAATTAATGAATACTAAAAGCAAAATTGATTATCAAGTTAATAAGGGAGTTTTATAATTGAAACTCCTGGGAACCACTGTCTCATAAAGCTTACATTTATTTGGACTTTAAATCACTTACTCTCAGGCAACTCTTACATATTAGGAGAGAATGAGGTCTCATCTCAATTTCAACAACTATCTCCAGAGGCCTGAAGTATGCCCACTCTCTACTTTCACTCACGTTTTAGATCAGTTTCCCCCTCAGTCAGGTCTTAGGCAATAGTAAACATGTCAAGAACAGCCTTGTCCAGAAATATGAGCATTAACATCTGATCTCTTTGATTAT